ACCTTCCCCTCTTTTATATACCAGCGTACCCTATTTCTAGTAATTACTAGACCATTCGCCAAGATACGGGATAGTTCTAGAAAAGAGAGCGTGAGAATTGTCACGTGATCTCGATGACGCAACAATATACAAATAATAATACAATTTACAATAACAGTTATTACAAACAGCTACTACCAACAATGATTTATATACAAAGTCTTCTTTATAGTCTGGTACTTCCTTAATGTCTTATCGAGGGTTCACGATGAGCGAGTTAATTCCGAGTTGATGTAGGTACAATTCAGTTAACGGAGAGCTAGCTAGCTCTGTGGTCTTCATTGATCACACACCGATTTTTTTTTCTACCGATGACGTTAGGTAGTGTTTTCGTAAAAGTACTAATGTCCGATGTGAATCCGTTGAAGGTAAATGGTTTGTAATGTTCGAAATTTATAAGTGTTCCTGGTCAAATATCTGAAGAGTCCCGTTGGTTATATTTATAGGCATGTGGAGAGTTTCTCAAAACTTCAGCGTTTACGTACACACATATATTGTTGATTCTTACACTCGAGATTCTGCTACAACTTTAATGAATAGACGGGAGTTTCGCAATACATATTTAACAACTTGAACAAATATCGATATTAAAGCATATATATATAATAGTAAATCCGTCACAACTATCAGCTCTAAATGAGTTATAACTATATTAATTCTGGGATCAAAGTTATGGGATAATTAGAAATTGTAGTTCTTGTAAAACAGTTTATGAAGTGCCTAAATTACTGGAGAGTTAAGTTTTTAAATAAGCGACATATTGTTATAATAAGATTTCCAAATAGTTCATTAAAACATTGTGTTGCTGCAAATGCTTCCACAGAAAGCACAAATACTGATGAAATAATGAAAAGGAAATTAGAAATTTGTTGACAGATTTGGCCTTAGAACATCCAGAAGGATGGTAAAATATGCGACTCAGACATTGTGGTTTGATTATCATCTATCACTAACTATTTTCAAAGGTCATTGTGTATTTATATTACGAGAGAACACACATTATCCATTCTCAGTAGGGAGCATTTATAGTATCAGATCTTCAGGCATTGTAGTGTATGCAAACTGTACGGAGAAGAGGCAGACCACTGTCAAACCAAGCTTATAAATATTGTATAATTATAATAGGTGAGAACTAACGTTATTCACTCTCAGCATGTTTTAGTTCATATGATAAATTTGCGTCAAATTTGTTGAATTGCAACACTCCGATATGAAATACAGCCAGACCTTTAGTGTACTTATGCTAAGTAAAAGCAAACATTAGCGACCAGTGCACCGAGGAAGGATTTAATTTATTGTATAAGCATATAGTTGTTAGTTATCTCAGTTTTATAGCAGTTTTTCAAAAAGAGTGTTGCTTTAGCATCCTACATACATTTATACTTAGGTAATTAAATACTAATTTTTCATTTTGCTTTACATAGTGTCAAGTCTCTTTTCTTCAACTTTAAAGATTAAAGATTCAGATTAAATCTGCAATAAATTTTTTGCCATATATCTTATTGTTGTGGTACTCCCAGTAGCTCAGTGGTAAGTCGGATTATATATCGAAAATTGGTTTTTCGATACCCGTGTTGGGCAATCCATTGTGTAGATATGCGCTTAACAACAAACAAACTAATTCTTACCTGTACGAAACCAGTGCTCCT